AAGAGCTGGTGATAAGTACCATTCAGACCCCCACAGCCCCGCGAAGTGGAGTAGCTGCTGTGGGTGCAAGGGAAGAGGGGGGGCTCGAGGACGAGAGTTGATGCCACCGCAGCTCCTCCAGAAGCTGTGTTTCTTGGTTGGCCCCATGTGCGTAGTTTGCTGGATGATGGGGACAAATCTAGTTCCCCCCAGGAGCTGACTCTGGCTGCCTGGCAGTCAGTGGCGACCTGGCAGGCTCTATTGAGAGGGCCTTTGAGGCCTCAGCCAGATTCTTGCAGAATCAAGTGGTGTGGGCCATGAATGACATCTGCCCTGGATGAGGAAGGTGGTGGGTGCTGGCAAGCCCAACACCTGCTCCATGCGACTGACAGACCCTATAGTTCTAGGACATTTCATTCCTGGAAGGATCAGAAGTCTGTTGTTCATTCATTCATTCAGTATTTATTTACTGGGCACTTGTTTGAGAACACTTCCCAGGTGCTGGGACGGAAGATGACTAAGCAAAACCTCACAGTGTGACGGGGACAGGGACACAAAGAGACAAGAGTGGTGTGGAGGATGGTGTCGAGGGGAGGCAGACAGGGAATGTCTTTGTCCATTTTCTGCTGTTGTATCAGGATAGCACACAGTGGGTGATTTATAACAAACAGAAATGTATTTGGCTCACAGTTCTGGAGGGTGGGAAGTCCAAGACAGGTGCCGGCATCCTGCGAGGGGCTTCACACTCTGTCATCCTATGGCAGAAGGCAGAAGGGCAAGAGGACAGAGTGAGTGGGAGGCAGAACTCAGCCTTGAGCCCTTTTCTAATTGGCATTAATCCATTCACGAGTTTGGGACATGAACACTTACCACCAGGCCCCACTGCCCAGCATTGCGGCTTTGAGGGTTGAGTTTCCAACACATGCTTTGGGGAGAACATATTTAGATTATAACAGGGACAGTCCTGTCAGGGAGGGTCATTATGCTGGGCCTTTCCATTGCAGGAAAGATGAGTTAAGATTCTTGGAGCCAGGAAGGGCCCACGGTGGAGGGAGCAGTGCAGAAAGGGGAGGTGAGAGCTGGGTGGCTAGTAGGGGCAGAGTCTGCCACTGTAACCAGAGTGGTGAGCAGAGCAGAGTGCCCCAGGGTCTGGAAGCCAAGACGCTTGGATTTCACCACCTAAGGGAGGGGAGCCATGAAGGATGTGGGGATAGAAGGTCTGTGGGGGACCAGGTACAAGAAGGGGAGCGTGCCTGCAAGGAATCAGCCTAGTTCTGCCCAGACTCTCCTGAGGACCCTGGAGGTCTTGGACTCCTGGGACATGGAGGATATATAACAGCTGCCTGCTGGCCTGGCCACATGCCTCAGAGATAGAGGACTCTAGCCCCAGGTCCAGCCCTGTTCCCCAGCTGGCCAGTGGCCTTTAGTACATGGTGGACTAGGATGCGTGCGCTCAAAGCATTACTCTTACCTTTTCCCAAAGAGGCAGGCAGGGCTGTCAAGAGGGCCAAGGATCTTCTGATTCAGCCACAGATAGAGAGTTGGAATCGGTTTGACAGGGGGGAGGGACAGAGTCTGTCCAGGATCCTGCCAATTCTCTAAGAGCCAGAAAACCGGACTTTCTTGTAGCTCTTGGCGTTCAGTTCAGTGAGTCACCAAGAGGCCAGGAGAGGGAGGCCCAATCTGTGCTGGGCCCTGCACTCCCCAGGCTTACGGAACAGAAGGCTGCTGTCGGGCACTGTGGGTGCGAAGGCCTAGCGGCAGGTGAGCAGAGAAGTCCAGGAGGACATCCTGGAGGAGGGGGCTCCGGCCCCAAGTCCCAGAGGCGACAAGGCTTGTGTTCACCTGGAGTGAATGAGTGTGAACTGTGTTTACAGCTGGACTGAGACGCAGACACCAGGTCAGACCCCTAGGTGGAAGAGTGTGGAACTCTTCTGCTTATTTCCGTCTTAAATGTCCTTGACGCCCCAACCCTGTCCTCGTCAATGCAGGGCAGGATTCAGGAACTTCCAGAGCCAACCACACTCACAGGTGTTGACAGCCCGACCTTTGCACTTTGGCCTCCAATGAGTGGGTTGGGTTTGGTGTGGGGAAGGT